CCAAACAAACAATGTCTTTCAGGGACACTACTGGTTAATGAAAAGGGTTTGAAGTTTATAAGAAATCTTAAATCGTCATTTGAGCTCTATTTAAAAAAAACGATTTGCAAAATGCACTAATTCAGGTTAATCGTGTTCGATTTCTTGCTGTGAAAAGCTGTGAATTGTGGAGGGTCGTATTCGGTTTCCAAATTGCATACAATGTCCTATTGTAGATGGCTTCACAACCGCCGAGTGTTAAACATCGCCACATTTCATGTTATGAATGAGCCCGCATCTCTACCTGTCTGTATCTGCAAATGTGATGTTTTCTGGTGTTCAGTCAAAACTGAAGCACAGTATTTTCTATTACTCAGCCCCTATTATGCTTCTCAACACCCCAGCACTGTCCTCCTCTCTGCTCCTGCTTTTCCCATTTCTCTGGTACTGGAGATAAAACTTCAAGCGTAATTAATCGTGTCCGCCGTAGGTCCAAGAACAAAAAAAGACACCACACAAAAAAAGGCAGGTCTACCTATCGACCTTCTCTGCAATACGTCTTTATTTTACTGAAGTGTGAAATCTAAAGGTATAGTTCAATGGAATTGGTCATCTAAACTGAAATCAGGACTGAAAATCCTAAGGCTTGTTTACATTATTCCCTGAATGACAACGGCAAATGATTGTGAGTATTATAGGCACATGATCGCTATATATGAAGTGAATGTTTGCAAATTGTAGGAGAGTCTGGCAAGTGCAATATTATTGAATGCGTTTACATAATCCAGAGTTTATTTCGAGGCACTATAACACTATACAAACGACCCAAATCATTCTCAAATGTATTGTGCTTGCATCGACCTGTGTCTATTTTATAGCTTCCTATTGCACTCATTTGCCATCCATTCTTGTGAGAAAACACAGTAAAAGCAATGAAACTACACTGTTCCGTTATAACATTTGTTAAGGAAAATTGTAAGTAATCAATATTTTAAGTCCAAATTTGGACGTCTCACACCGAGCATTTTACGCAAAAGGGGTTTAAGGTAGAATTGGTCAAACAGATACTTTATGGAAAACGTGAAGGTGCGGAACGTGTGAAATGCACAGAGAAACCCTTTAAACCAGGGCAGGATTGATTGATCCTTCGGAGAATAGCAGCAGTTTTGCACACAGCATACGCGTGTGCACTGAAGCGCTAAAGCGTTTGCTTTCAGTTTATTGGGAGCAAAATAAAGAAGTCACTGTGCCCTGGGGTTTCACGGTCGAATACTAAGGGATACGACTAGTTTCAAGCCAGCAAAACAAGTTCTCAAAGTCTAAAGCCAAGGCACATGCTGGCAAATGTACCATTTACTGTTAAGTTGCGCTTGCACTCTGGCTTTCTTGATGGCTTGGGTGGTAATGGGGAGAACGGTTGATTTGGAATTGAGTTGATCGCTTGTCGAATAAAACCAAACAAATGTAGGTTGATTGGGTGGGAATATATTTAGGCTTTAAGGGTGGGTAGAGTTTTAAGAGGGACCGTGCCAGGGGAATGCAATCTCAATTTCAGAACAGAGATCACATACCGTAAACATAGCCACTCTCAGCACGCCCTAAATGGATTTAACACGTTTTATCCATTGCATTAAATACTATGCTAATAAAAATATATTCATCCCGGAAAGTCACCTCCTCCCATTTCGCAGTTCACGAGAAACGTTTGCTTTGTGTAGGGAAATCTTTGTGTCTTCTTAGTTTCCAGCTGACTCACATCCTGCAACGTTGAACAGAAACATGTCCCCAGTCTTGCTGGGAAGGCATCCGGATCTCTTTGGCTCGTCCGAGAGGCTGAATATAGGAACACATTCTTCGTGGTAGTTGAAAGTGACCTCGGGATTATTGCTAGTATTGTTGTTGTTCTTATTGCACGTGGAATTAGTGACACCTGTCATGTACTCGTATCGGAAGTAAAGCCAGTCAATTGTGTCAATCAGTTTTGTTCTGTCACCAGGAAAACACACTTCCTTGCTGTGAATCTTATTGTTACACCCCTACCCCCCACCCTCCACACCCCCTCCCCATCCGCATCAAACAAGACAGAGCAGGGCAGTGGCCAGTACCCATTTCTCTTCAAAGTAACTCAGCATATTTCAGTCCAATGTGAGGATAATTCTCTCCCAGGCAACGCAACTCGGGTCATGCCATCAGAGGAATCACATTTTTTTTTCAAACGTGTCATGAACAGCTGTCCTCTCCTGCAGCTCGATATTGTTCTTTTTAGATAATGTGTGCACCTTTTAGAGAGGAGAGAATAGCGGAAACTCCCAACAACTCCTCTCTGAACAGTGACGAGGAGAAGGTTAACAGTCACTGTGGTTTTATATAGAAGAGGGAAACATAACCCAGTGCGGGCAGCTTTAAAGTACTGTATAAGGAATGGATTTTGCACGTTTTAATTTAGCATTTGTTTACAGGGCAGTGAAATATAAAAACGATGTCAATTGCCTGGGAGATGTTTCACCACACGGCGCTACAGTTCAGCCACTGAGGGCGCATTAAGACCGAGGTTTATTTTTTTTTCACACACACTTTACATTTTCGCTCACGTCATTATGAATTAACATCAGGACAGAATAATCCATCATCTCACACTAACAGCACCGGCTCTTCTCACGCAGAGAGACCCCGCAAATGATTAAACACGTTGATCGGAATAAAGCGAGCCGGAGATCTAGGTATGTGCGCGTCTCCGTGAGTGTGAGATGCTCTGTGTTTTTAATGCTCGGATTTCTCTGTAAGGACTCGTGCTATTGCTCCAACATCACCAAAGCTGTCCCTGTGCCTGGGAAATTGCTGGAAGAAATGCGGCACTTTCTATGAACGGTAGCGATGCATTTAACTTGCAAAAAAGAAAGAAAACTCCCCCCCCCCCCCCCCCCTCTCACAATAATTATTGCTCGAAGTATCAGGGTCTGTCTCTCCTGACGCTGCTCGAAACGCTGCTGAGCGAAGATATGTTTCACCCGATGAAAGAGGCCGTCAGGTTGATGGTTGTAAGGGACGGGAGCAAATGTGAATTGCAGATGTGTGTGTGTGTGTTGAAGGTTTGCAGTTGATCCTCTGAACGGATGGAGTCGCTCTAATTCTTGTTTTAACTTCTCCCTTTTCTACCTCAGAGTCGGATCCCGAGAGTGCAGTGCAGTGCAGTGGATGGTCTCTCCCCTTATCTCGAACTATGTTTCTCTTGATCATGATATTGGTACTTTAATCACACCTTTAACACGACGCCAAATGACAAGAGTTTTCCTGTTTAAAACTTGGTTTGCATGATATGTCGTGTCCGCAAAAGCCAATTCAATAACTCCAGGCTGTCCCCCCCACACACCCCCCAATGGTGAAACCAGGGTTGTTGTGTGTTAAACAGCAGTCTCTGAGCCACAGTGACATACCCATGTGAAAGAGAGAAACTCACACCTAACACTCGAGACGCGACTGCAGTAAGAGGAAGACAAGATTGAAAATGCGTTGTCCAAACATGCAAGGGTTTAGTAAAAAAAACATTTAGAATAAGCGATGTGTGTTATGGTGGTTACAGTCTGGCGTGTCGTTCACTGATCTACCTTTGCGGGTCACCCCAGTTGAAACCGCACAGATACGGGCTCCATTGAGGGCTGGGGGTGTGCGGGGCTGTGCGGGGCTGTGCGGGGGTGTGCGGGGCTGTGCGGGGCTGTGCGGGGGTATGTGTTTAATTTAAACCCCGATTCACAGTTTCTACTTAATACAGTTCCAAATCCAGTCGTCGTTTCCGATGTTGTAACTGTTCGTTGTTAATGCCAAGTTTTGACCAAGTTTCTTCAAAACAACGTGTCGATTTACCCCCGAATGTATGAGCACTTACACAAAAGCTGCTGTCACCAGAACACGTTATATATTTGTTTCCCTGCATTTGTGATTTGATCTGTCCTCATTTTGAAGCTATGGTTATGAGTTGACTATTAATAGTTACATTGCCGGGACGGCGCTGGATGTCATTAACTAGTTTCTCTGCACTGGTCAACAGCTCTAACCCACCTGCTCAGGCTCTCCCCTAAAGGAACATCGGCCACTTTATAGTTTCAAGTTAAGAGACGCAGATCACACTGTCAAATATTTGAACAGTTTGGATCCTTTGCACATCTGCATTAAAATTACTTCTGTAGCTCACAAACTGCAGCACAGTGTCTCTCTCTCTCTCACACACACACACACACACACACAGAGAGAGAGAGAGAAAAGGGGGAATCAGGGAAGCAATTTTCCTGCTTAAGTGAATCCCCGCACTCGCAGGTTGAATCTTGCACTGCACACCATCAAACTGTGCTGCTCTACTAACGGATCATCATCGGTTTTATTAAAAAAAAAGCACACACACCCCCCCACCCCCCCCCCACCCCACCCCACCCCCCCCACCGTGGCACCCGGAGGGGAAGCCAAATCATTTACATGATAGATACAAATTGATAAGGAATTCTGGCCAGAAGCAGTAAGTGGAGCCCTCTCTCCCTCTCCCTCTCCCTCCCTCTCCCTGTGTATCTAATGCTCGCCCCACGTCAGAGGCTGTGCAGCAGTGCAGTGCAGTGCAGTGGGGTGTCAGCTCAGTCCCCACGTCTTTCCTCGCTGGTTGATCTCGCTGTCTGCATGTGTCCGCCGCTGGTTTTCACAACTGGACCTTTTCCTGGTCTTTTCCCTCAGTCGCGCTGAAGTGGACTCGTGGGTGGATTTTCCTCGGGCTTCTCGGGAGTCCGAAAACATGGATGTCCCGCCATTCCTTGCAGCGGAAGAGTGCTCCTTTGCGCAGTGAATGAATGAAGAACATGCGGGGATTGCTAATGGTCCGGGAAGCATATGCTCTCTCCAGTCGGCGTTGCTCTGTGTGACCATGTCGTGATCCTTCCCGAGGGCCAGCGCTCTGCTCAGCATCGACCCGAACCGCCAGCGGAGCCTCTGCCGCTAACAGGGAAACCTACGCCCTGCGATCAGATCCAAATACAAAAATCATGAAGATTATCTCTCCGCTTCTAAGCAATCCGGTCTTTGAATGTTCGACTAGACTTTTTCTGTGCCTGTTGTGGATGGGATATTCTCAAGGAATGCCGCATGTTTTGAGATTCGGTAAGATATCTTTTTTTTTCTCCCCATCGTTTGTCACATTTTTGTTGGGGGGGTGGGGGGTGGGGGGGGGGGGGGGGGGGGGTGACCACACATTTGCAGATGTTTCTTGTTTTGCCAGTGCTCCCGTCGAGGGCAGAGAGCGAGCGGTTTTATAGTAGTTGCTCCGTTAATGCCCCGTTGTATTCACAGGACTAAAATGGTCTACTCTGTTGCAGCAATTCCTTTAAAGACTCGAGCATCTTAGCTTCGGGTACCACCTAGGGATGGACTGACTCACAGTATCAGCAGCAAACCTTGTCATTTACCTCTGTGTGGTGGTCGCGGCTATTTCAAGACCCCCCCCCACCTCCAAAAATACTTCCGCAAACCTAATCCGATGTTGCATAAAGTTAATATTCCCGCAAATCTGAGGGTACACGTAATCGGCGCGTTTAGTAAACAAGTGGGAAGCGGCAATGCTTTAAACAGCATTCCCTTAATGTAAATATACATACAGTGCGTCCTGTGGTTTTGTGTATTTGAAGAGGTGAAGTATAACGAGGAGTTAATGGGTATGGAAACGCACTGAGTGTCTTTTCGCTTTTTTGCAGAGGTTCAAACCTAGACCTCGGCAGATTATGTCGATATTCAGTTGCTTAAACCATTCGCTCTTGGAATAATATTTGCACGAAAATATTTGGACTTGTAGTTTGCGCGGAGCCTGGTCAAAACTGCTACCAATGTAGTGCATGGAGCGACGCGCCATGCCCAAAGCATATAGGGTTAATTAGCGAATGTTTGCAGAAATGTCTCGTAGAACTAACAAGTGCATCCCTAAAATTATCATTTACTGACATAATATTACACCGAGAGGGTGAAATGGTGAGAAAAACCCATTTGTAAATGCACCTCATATATGAGCAGCGTGAGGCTTTTTTTTATATATAAACTCCTCTCAGCATGAATATGTACAATTGGAATTAATGGTAGGAAAAAAACGGGCTGGGAAATTTAGCGTGGAGTGTGGAAGGTACAATTACATATGTGATATTCGTGTGCGATGGCAACTGTCATCTGTTAAACGCTTTCCGTTTGCAAATCATTTGAAAGATGAGCAGCAACTCCTCGCCACCGACCTCATTAATGCAGCAAAGAACAAAACTGCCATCAAGTCTCCGAGACCACACATGCAAATGTCATAACACGACTTGAGCTGTTATCTTCCCCACCAAAATACAACCAACGCACTGTTTGCGGTAGAGGCGATTAGATACCAGAGGGCGTTCGGCTATCGGATGTTGTACGGCGCGGCTCCGGATGCAACAAGTCTTAAATAAAAGCACAGATGTTTATTGAGTGGTACCCTGATAATAAATGTGAAGTCAAAAGGGTTATCATTGATCCGATGTGTCGAATTCACAGCTGGACCGCTATCATCGAGCTCCCTGTAGTCACAGGTTGGTGATCTGAACACATTGTTGTCACCAACGCTACCAGGATTTTCACCGTCTCGATGCTCTGATGTGCTGTATTTCTTCAGTGTGTCTCAAAACGGTCATGTCTTCCAATGCATTTTACTATGTGTTTTTACATTAATGCACAACCCGTTCACAGCCGCAGTTCGCTGCCGGAACTGAGGTTGTGACAATTATCTGGCGTTCGCTGTGCGTTTAATTTCCAAGATGCTATTAATACCCAGTGTTACTATTAATAATAATAATAATAATAATAACCCTTGCATTTATTTATTGCAAGGAATGACCATTTCAGTCCTTTACAGGATGGATATTCCAAATGTGCTTGTACATAATCGTAGCTCCAACTCAATAAACTGTAGTCTGGCAGCTCCAACACTCAGAAGTATTTATGCAAATCACTGGATGGAGGTTTAAACATTACTTCTGTTGCCCCTCTCTCTAAATCCGCTTGAGTTGAAAGGATTGTGTTCCATAAGAGTGACACCGCAATTGCATTACATGTCTCACTAAAGCGTTGTAATACCTTTTGTCAATATCCATTATCCAATCGGAAAACACCAGGAGCAAAAGATAATACTGCAACGGATTGCACTCTTGAAGTCATTCTCCTCCTTTTTTTATTCCGAGCCGAAATCTCCCACTGTTACGCCCAATCGTTTTGTGGCAAACCTTTCCTTTGGCGTCTTCAGGAGTGAAAGTTTGAGGACCCATTTTGCCCGAAGTGGCGCGTCAGCCCTTCTGCAAAACGCCTGGACGTGAACTTGTCAGCATTATGATTAGGTGGGAAGTGCAGGAGCCTGGAGACACGGTCGGGGGATGACCTGTCAGGTTAAACACCAGCCCTGCTTTGTGGGTTCTTCCCCCTTTGACCTCTAAGCCAAACGACCCGGTCTCTCGGGAGATTTGACGTGCGCTCGGCTCATTCTCACATGCGATCATGTATTTGGGGCAGAGAAGGTGGCAATCTCAGCAACTGCTGATTAAAAGTCAGGCTGCATCTCCGATTTAGGCAGCGCTATGGCAACGCGCGAGTGCTTGAATTCCTGGAACCATCACATCGAAATGTACCATTGATCCTTATTGTCCTTTATCTCCCCAAACTAGCCGCCGCCTGCCATACTCTGCACTTTGCTTCCCCACCCCCCCCCCCCACCCCCACCCCAACCCCCTTAAATAGGATGCAGATAGGTATTTTGCCAACTGCTTTTTCTCTAAGCCAAGGGGAAAGGTGACTGCAACTGGGAAATGTCGGTGCTGCTCCATGCATTGAAGAAACGAAAAGCGGCTGTTTGTGAAACATTGCATTTTAAGATTACCCTGATCCTGCCATAAAATAGTTTTTCTGCCTGAAAAATCGATTAAGCCGGCAAACACTCCTTCTGCGATTAACCTTTTGAACGACCGCGGCTCCTTGGATTCCACATAAACCTTTGTAATTGTTGCGTTCATTCAGATCCAAAGGCAGCAACGTGCATCCTCGGGTTTCTTGTCAAATCTGGTACGAGCATCGAGAAAAAAAAAGATAATGCGAGAATATCTGTGCAATAGCAGAACTAATCCCAGTGTCTACTTGGGATCAGTTGAAACGCTAATACACATTTTGCTCCTGCGCCAGGCAGACACCACAGTCAGCTTTGGGTAGAAGGCAACGCTTATTTTAACGTTGCTTCCAAAGGTGGAGTCACTGGAAGAAGCAATGACACCGTTTCAATCGTCATCTATAAATTAGAGAATGTTTAAAAAATACTGAGTCATTTTTTTAAAAAAAAGTGCACCTTTTCCACTCTTGCTGACTGACATCTGCTGATATGCATATTCTTTCTGCTCATCATCTGACTGATCCGAAATGAAAAAAAAAAACATATTACTAGTTGACTGCAGTTGGCTGTGACCGGATGGACCAGTGGCGCACTTGGGATGCAACTCCAGTTTCTTGCAAACTTTGAGGCGCGACAATTCACTGACTGCTTTTATGCCCACGGAGAGGATCTTGTGATTCAGCACCTGGGACAGCGGCATTTCACCTGCACCGAGAGGCCAAGAGTGAAAGGCACTGACAGACACAGCCACTGTGTGTGTGTGTGTGTGTGTGTAAACTAGAGCCAGAGCCATGAACAGGCAGCATCAGCTTCAGCAACTTGCAGCCTTCTCCAGGCCTGTTGACAAATAACTGGAAGATAGTTTATCGACTGTCAAGCCGCAGTCAATCATATAGCCTTGTTTTGCCGGTGCTGCCTGCTCGTGTTAACATCGCTTCACTCCCTGGCACCACCCTACATCTCTGACCTCCTCACCACACCAATTCACCACCCAGCGCCTCCGCTCGACTGGCACTGGCCTCTTACTTGTCCCTCGCACCCTCTGCTCCACCATTGGAGGTCGCGCTTCCAGCCACTATGCCCCGAAACTCTGGAACACTCTCCCTCAATCCTTCCGCCTTGCCCTCTTTCCCCTTTTTCAAGTCCCACCTTAAAACTTTCCTTTTCGACTGTGCTTCCGGTCACCTTCCCCTCCACCCCAGTTCGGAGTCAGGCTCCGCCACTGTTAAGCGCTCTGAGACACTACCCTGAGTGGAGGGCGCTATATAAGTGCAAGTTGTTTCTTGCTTTATTTTATTTAATACAAGACTTTCCAGAGGGAAATCCTTGCCACTGTTTTGCCTGTTTGCAGACATTCTGCCTTGCTTCTTAAGGACGGGACAGGCTGATCCATTGGGAGATCAATAAAGTACCCCTCACCAGGATCGATATGAGAACTCTATGAGCGTGTGCTGGTGTAAACAGGCAGAGTGCGGTCCTTGGGACAGGGTTTGGGCACTGCGGTGGCTCCTGTCTGCAGCTGCCTCCTGTTTTACCAAACAAGCCAACCTCACGCCCTGTTGCAGCCAGCACCGCAAGGGGGGAGAGAGAGAGAGGGTGAGAGAGAAATATAGGGTTTGAGAGAGGGACCCTAAAGTTCTACAGACAAGAAAAAAGTTTTAATCAGTGGAGGCGCAGAGTTCAGCAAAATCCTGAGGGAAAATTACTTACCTCCCCCCCCCCCCCCCCCCCACACACAGTTTTGTTTTGCTAAGATTTGGGTTTGCCCACTTGGCTCACTTTTCATTACATTCTAATAATAATCCTTGCATTTGATATGGCACCTTATCACGTTTTCGAGATGTCTCAAAGCGCTTCATGGAATATATTATAAAGTATATGTCGTGGCCGAAACGCAGCAGCCAATTGTGCACAGCAGTGCCCCACAAATAGTTGTGGGTTTAGTGACCATTTTGTTTGAGGGATTATGAACCCCAGAAAGTGATCTGCCAATCAACTAACAACTGGGATCCTACTTACTGCTGGGTAAACATAGTGTGTGGTAAGGAAACTTACCTAAGATTTCAAAGACAGACAGACACAAGCAGACTTGCAGACATACACACAGAACGACAAAGACAGAGAGACAAACAAACCAGAGAGACACTGACAGACATAGACAAACTGAGACAGACATACAGAAACAGACAGTTCTCTGATAGGAGCGGTGTCTGTGAACGGATCC